TAATTGTACCGTTCATCTAACAATATAATGCAATTTTCTGATCCTTGAATGTTATTACCAACTATTAGGATATAAAGAAATGAAAGTTAGTAGTTAGACATTATAATAGAACTTGTAGTTATATTAGATATGTTTTCAAGATTGAGTAGATATATTTTAGATAGACAGGTTATCTTCAAACCCTTCAGAGATCTACAGAATATGGCATTTAAAATGTTTTAATAACTTAGAAAATTTTTCTTTTTTGTTATGATTATGAGACATGTCGGCTCCTGGCAGTACCAATCTACTTCAGAGAAAATATGGGCATGAAGAAACTGTATATGGAGTTAGCTTTCATTGTGGCTAAAGTTAGCCACTGGACAACAAAGTATCCTCGAATCAACTGCTGACAAAATGAACAGACAGGACATGAAACAAAGGACTACTGATTCTTGCCAAAACAAGTGTGGTTATGGCTTTATCAAAAGGCATCTTCAGAGGCCAGGACAATATGGCACCATCCCTGAAGTGGCCTTAGCAATTCAGAAAAGGTACAGTGCCCTTTTCTTCGAAGGCAGCTGAACAGGCAGTGGGCCGATGGCCTCTGATGTGCAATGGAACAGCAGCTGAAACAGTTATTCTTGAAGAGTAACTAAGCTCACGCCTCTCAATAGTAGACTGGCATTTGATAGAGGGATATGGAGAAGAATGGGATGCTGAGATGAAGCCATATATACACAGCCAAGAAGAATGGACAGCTGAATTAAAAAACCATCAACAATTTCCAGAATTTAAAATCCTGAATCATGACATGACACTAGTGGAATTCAGGTGTTTCTGGTACATGGACTGCTCTCACTCAATGTGAGGTTGAACTGTTGACCTTGTGTACATCCTACTTCACAAATGAGTCTGTCAGATATGCTAAGCCTATAGGCTGAAGATGATGCCCCAGCACTGCGGAGAAACCTCAGGTGACTGTCCAGACAGCTGGCTGTTTCTGTCAACTCACAAATTTTTTGGAAGTTGCTTGCATGCACTTCCTGTTTTTATTTTTGTTAGCTAATATTATTTCCTTCTTGGGTCTCTGAGGGAGTTGAAGATTAGTTAGTTATAGTTGAAGGTTAGTTAGTTGAAGATTAATTAGGATACATTTTGGACTTACCAAAATAGGATAGATAATGAAATTATTTTCTCTGAATTTGTCAAATACAAATGGACTAGACATTGTTTAGGTATTTATTACTTGTATATATTGTATATAGTTATTGTCCTTTTGTATATAGTTTTTCTTATATTAGTTATAAGCTTTTTCCTTTTTATTAAAATAGAAAAGGGGAAATATGGTGATATTTTATTTGTATTAAAATGTTATTTGTATGTTAATAAATAAAGTTGCCCGGGGGTCAGAGCTATTAGCAAGCCATAGGAAAGCAGGGCATTGGTAGCTTACGCTTGTAATTCCAGCACTTGGTAGGCAGAGCTGGGTAAGTCTCTGTGTGTTCAGGGATACAGCCATTATTGGATACACATGCCTTTAATCTTAATACCAATCATGGAAAACCTGGAGGCCTATACAGACAGGCCGTGAGGAGGCGGTCATGTGTTTGGGTTTACAACCAATGAGAAGGCAAGACAGGAACTCTATATAAAGACTTTAACACAGGGGTAGCTCTGGTTCGGAGAGGTAGGACCACCGCAGGAGGAAGGGTAAGGTTTTAGCTCTTAGCTCTGACCTCTTGGCTTTCTTCTTTGCATTGGTTCTGTGTTTCTTATTTAATAAGAAGGTTGGATACATCTACATATATACTTTAAGGATGTGCTGACCTCAGAATGGAAACCAGGATATGTGTTACATTGGGGACGAGGTTTTGCTTTTGTTTCTACAGGAGAAGATAAGCTGTGGGTACCATCAAAATTGATAAAGGTTCGATTTGAACAAGAGAAACCTCTTAATTAGAGGAGGTGATAGTTCATCAACTATCGTAAACATCCAATTTAAACTAACTTACACCAGTAACACATGCGTTTTCATTTAATCAGATAACTTGTCAAAAAGGAACATCCCCCCCCCCCAAAAAAAAACCACCTTGGGGAAAGGTTTTTGTTTTTGTCTTTTAGGAGAATGAAGGTTAAGGAATCTGAAGAACACTGGACAAATGAGACAACTGAAGAAAAGGGACAAATCATCTATCTTAAGAAACAGAGTGAGGTGGCGTATGGTTATGTTATCTAAAAAAATTTTTATGTCTTTCTAAATGTTTGTTTCTGCTGTTCTTTAAAGATTTAACACTATTTAATTTCTAATAGTCCCAGTTCAATTAAAATTTAAAGCTGACTTTGGAGTTGGAGAATGGCTCTCTCCTTCTTTAAACTCAAGCATGTTGTTAAAAGGAAAATGCAAACTCCCTGTATCATGCCAGAAGAAAAGAGCCATCTTCTGCTATGGGACAGGAGAAAAGCCAAATTAATTAAGGGACTATTCTATTACGAATCTCAACTCTTTGATTCTATTCTGATTCTTTAAACTTTTCTTAAAGTATGAATTTTATATCAAAATTTACAAGATCAATATATATATAGATATATATACATTTTAAACTTTAAGATATAAATGGTCATATAGAGTACTAACTAATTCTAAAAAGTTGCATATATAGTCTTTGTGTTCGAGTCTCTTATCAGCTTTTTGCAGAAAATCACGGTTAGGCCTAACATCAACTGAAGTCTCCAGGAAGAAGATGGGGCCCCACAACAACAACAATTCCACGTGGACAATAATAACATCACTAAGCTGACAAACATCATCTACAGATCAGCTTTGAACTACAAAGTGCTCAGAGCAATTTTGAGAAGAGCTAGCTGAGATGATCCAGTCTCAAAGACTACTTGAATAAGGATTTGAGATAAACCCTGATATTTGGCATTATACACAGACTGGATAACGAAGGATATATTTACCTTTCCTAGAATTTGACAATTAACCTAAAATTTTTCTTTCAGGATAAAGATACCTTCGCCCATACCCAGCAGGAAGCAATTTCAAGAATACGACGCCCACATTCCCAAAGAGGTGGTGTGGGGCGGTTGGTTTTTTTTTGGTCTTTTAATGGGTTTTGGGTCTGGGATAATTTTCATTGATTAGGGGGGTTGGTTACAAGTTGTTGTCAAGGGTTAGGAAAAAGGCTAAGCAAAGGAGATTAGATTTAAGGTTCTTATAAAAAAAAAAGAAAGAAAGAAAAGAAAAATGTAAATACTTTACATTGGATTGGATTGTTTTATATTGTATACAAATTATATATATTGAAATTGATATTGTTAGAAAATGTTATATATATTTTTTTAATTGTACCGTTCATCTAACAATATAATGCAATTTTCTGATCCTTGAATGTTATTACCAACTATTAGGATATAAAGAAATGAAAGTTAGTAGTTAGACATTATAATAGAACTTGTAGTTATATTAGATATGTTTTCAAGATTGAGTAGATATATTTTAGATAGACAGGTTATCTTCAAACCCTTCAGAGATCTACAGAATATGGCATTTAAAATGTTTTAATAACTTAGAAAATTTTTCTTTTTTGTTATGATTATGAGACATGTCGGCTCCTGGCAGTACCAATCTACTTCAGAGAAAATATGGGCATGAAGAAACTGTATATGGAGTTAGCTTTCATTGTGGCTAAAGTTAGCCACTGGACAACAAAGTATCCTCGAATCAACTGCTGACAAAATGAACAGACAGGACATGAAACAAAGGACTACTGATTCTTGCCAAAACAAGTGTGGTTATGGCTTTATCAAAAGGCATCTTCAGAGGCCAGGACAATATGGCACCATCCCTGAAGTGGCCTTAGCAATTCAGAAAAGGTACAGTGCCCTTTTCTTCGAAGGCAGCTGAACAGGCAGTGGGCCGATGGCCTCTGATGTGCAATGGAACAGCAGCTGAAACAGTTATTCTTGAAGAGTAACTAAGCTCACGCCTCTCAATAGTAGACTGGCATTTGATAGAGGGATATGGAGAAGAATGGGATGCTGAGATGAAGCCATATATACACAGCCAAGAAGAATGGACAGCTGAATTAAAAAACCATCAACAATTTCCAGAATTTAAAATCCTGAATCATGACATGACACTAGTGGAATTCAGGTGTTTCTGGTACATGGACTGCTCTCACTCAATGTGAGGTTGAACTGTTGACCTTGTGTACATCCTACTTCACAAATGAGTCTGTCAGATATGCTAAGCCTATAGGCTGAAGATGATGCCCCAGCACTGCGGAGAAACCTCAGGTGACTGTCCAGACAGCTGGCTGTTTCTGTCAACTCACAAATTTTTTGGAAGTTGCTTGCATGCACTTCCTGTTTTTATTTTTGTTAGCTAATATTATTTCCTTCTTGGGTCTCTGAGGGAGTTGAAGATTAGTTAGTTATAGTTGAAGGTTAGTTAGTTGAAGATTAATTAGGATACATTTTGGACTTACCAAAATAGGATAGATAATGAAATTATTTTCTCTGAATTTGTCAAATACAAATGGACTAGACATTGTTTAGGTATTTATTACTTGTATATATTGTATATAGTTATTGTCCTTTTGTATATAGTTTTTCTTATATTAGTTATAAGCTTTTTCCTTTTTTTTCCTTTTTATTAAAATAGAAAAGGGGAAATATGGTGATATTTTATTTGTATTAAAATGTTATTTGTATGTTAATAAATAAAGTTGCCCGGGGGTCAGAGCTATTAGCAAGCCATAGGAAAGCAGGGCAGTGGTGGTGCACGCTTGTAATTCCAGCACTTGGTAGGCAGAGCTGGGTAAGTCTCTGTGTGTTCAGGGATACAGCCATTATTGGATACACATGCCTTTAATCTTAATACCAATCATGGAAAACCTGGAGGCCTATACAGACAGGCCGTGAGGAGGCGGTCATGTGGTTGGGTTTACAACCAATGAGAAGGCAAGACAGGAACTCTATATAAAGACTTTAACACAGGGGTAGCTCTGGTTCGGAGAGGTAGGACCACCGCAGGAGGAAGGGTAAGGTTTTAGCTCTTAGCTCTGACCTCTTGGCTTTCTTCTTTGCATTGGTTCTGTGTTTCTTATTTAATAAGAAGGTTGGATACATCTACATTGGAGGTCATTTTTTTTTTAATTGAAGACTTGAAGAATTCACTACTCCGATGTTCCGGGCCACGCGGGTCCTGCAGAGTCTCCGGCTGCATGCCTCAGCTCAGCCACATCCGAAGGGAGGGGCGGGTATCTCTTTTGTATAATATCATATCATCTACAAATAGGGATGATTTGAGTTCTTATTTTCCTATTTGTATCCCTTTAATTTTCTTCTCTTGTCTTTCTTGCTCCAATTAATGCTTCCAGGACTATATTGAAAAGAAGTTGGGATGTCTCCATGTTCATTTCTGATTGTGTTCATTTGAGTAATCTCTTACTTTCTTTTGGTTATTTGGGCTAAGGGTCTGTCAATCTTCTTTATCTTCTCAAAGAACCAGCTCTCATATTCATTGAGTCATTGTATTGTTTTATTTGTTACTATCTCTTTAATTTCTGCTTTGATTTTTATTATTTGTTGTCTACTGGGTTTGGGTTTGGTTTGTTCTTGTTTTTCTAAATTATTGAGTTGCATCATTAAGTTATTTGTACTTTTTCAGATCTTTTAATGTAAGACAGTTATAAACTTCCCTCTTAATGTGTCCCAGAGTGGTATGGAATTAATATTAAAATAATTCTAACTAGACAAAGATGTGTTACATTTGTTTATTCTGTAGAATATCACTTTAACTGTATAAAGGTGTGTTACATTTGTTTGTGCTGTATTTGTTTAATGATGTAAGGATGTGTGTTTAATTATGTAAAGAAGTATTGCATTTGTTTCACCTTGCCTGCCTAAGGCACCTGGTTGGTCTAATAAAGAGCTGAATGGCCCATAGCTAGGCAGAGAGAGGATAGGTAGGGCTGGTGGGCAGAGAGAATAAGTAGGAGAAATCTACACTTGAGAGAAAAGAAGGAGGAGAGAACAAGGGAGAAAGAAAGGGATACACCTGGGGCCAACCAAGCATCTACCAGCCATCCAAACATAGAGACAGCAGGAAAGTAAGATATAAAGAAAGGTAAAAACCCTGAGGCAAAACATAGATAAAAAGAAACAAATTAAAATAATAGTTAAGAAAAGGCTGAGCGTTCATAACTAATATTAAGTCTCCATATCATGATTTGTGAACTTGTTGGTATCACAAAAGAAAAATCCTGGGATCCCAGAGTTTTTGTTGTATTTTTCTTTTTGTTTACTTTCAGGAATACTTTTTCATTTTTTTCTTGATTTCTTCTTTGACCCATTCATCATTCAGTAAAAAGTTGTTTAATTTCCATGAGTATATACACTTACTAAAATTTTGTTTGCTTTTGATTTTAAATTTTATTGCATAATGGCTCGATAGGATGCATGGAATTGTTTCAATTTTTCTGTATTTTTTAAGGTTTTTTTATGTTCCTGGTTGTGGTCTATTTTAGAGAAGCTTCCACATGCTAATGAGTAAAATGTAAGTATCTGATCCATACATTTAATGTAAGATGCCATTTAATTCTGAAGATTCCATATTTATTTATTTATTGTTTAAATGACCTATCTATTGGAGACAGTGGGGTGGGTGTTGAAACCTTCTAAAATTATTGGATTTGTGTTAATCTGTGTCTTTAATTTCATTAGTATGCTTTTATGAAACTGGATGAACCAAAAGTTTTAGTATTGTGATATTATCCTGATTAATTGATCCCTTGATTAAAATAAAATGCCCTTCTTTGGTCTCTTGTGATTAGTTTTAGTTTCAAGTCTATTTTGTCATATATTAGGTTGGCAATGCCTGCTCACTTCTTGTTTCCATTTGCTTGGAATACTTTTTTCCATTCTTTCACTTTTTTCCATTCTTTAAGGTGGTGCCTATCTTTAAAGCTAAGATGTGTTTCTTGTAGATAATGGATCAATGGATTTTGTTTCTTAATCCATTTAGTTAGCCTGTGTCTTTTTACTGTTGAGGCCATTAATATTTAGAGTTAGTTTTGAAAGGTGTGTGTAGATTGCAGTCATTTTTTTTCTGGTTTGTATTTCATTAAATTATAACTTAGTTTATTTTTTTGAGAGTCTCATGGCTGTGCTTATTTCTCTCTTCAGTTCAAAGTATTGCTTCCAGTATTCTGCTTAGTGATTTTGTTGTTATTGTATATGATATTTTAGGCTGCTTGTATCATGGAAAGTTTCTCTTTCTTCAACTATGGCAAATAGTTTTGCTGGGTACAGTCATAGTCTATTAGAACTTAGGATATATTACTCCAGGCTCTTCTGGCCTTCAGAGTACCTATCAAGAAATCAGGTGTTATTCTGATGGGTTTTCCTTTATATGTAATTTGTATTTTCTCTCTTGTAGCTTTTGATATTTTTCTTTATTATGTATATTTAGTGTTTTAATTATATTATGTTTTAGGATGTTTCTTTTTTGATCTTGTCAATTTGCAGATTCTATATACTTCCTGCATCTGTTTCTGTCTCTGTCTCTATATCATCTCTATATATCTCTATCTCTATCTATCATCTCTATCTTTATCTGTATCATCTTTAGTTTAGGGAAGTTTTTTTCTATGATCATATTAAAGATCTTATCTATGCCATTGATCTGGGATTCTTCTCCTTAATCTATGCCTAATATTTGGTATTTTGGTGGTGTCCCATATTTCCTGTGTGTTCCTTTCCTGTGTTTTCATTTTTTCATATTTGGTTTAGATACTCTGCTTTATCTGTGAGTGCTGATAGTCTATCTTCTGCTTGATTCATTCTACTTGTTAGGCTCTCTCCTGATTTTTCTAATTAGGATATTGGGGTTATTTCAATTCCATCTTCATTTTGGCTTGTGTTTCCTTCAATATTTCATTTCCTTTATTGAATTTAGTTTTCAAATCCTGAATTATCTTCATCATTTCATTCAGCCACATATTTGTATTTTCTTGGCCATCATCCAAGTATTTATTGTTATCCTCTTGGAGTTCAATGAGGTGTTTGTTTGTGTCTTCTTTAAATTCATTGGTACAGTTATACCTCAGAATATTTTTTTAAATCACCATTGCCCTGACTACTCATGGTCTTTTGTGTTTCCATATGAAATAGGGTTGTTGTTGCTGTTGTTTCTATTTCTGTGTAGAATGCCAATGGAATTTTGAAGGGAATTGTATTGGATCTCGACATTGCTTTTGGACATATAGATATTTTTACAAAATTATCACAGTCTGTGATCATAGGGAGTCGACCCATCTCTGTGTCTTATTCAACTGCATTCTTTGAGTGTTTTAAAAGTTTTATCATAGAGGTCTTTCATATTATTAGGTTTAATCCTAGTTATTTTATGATGGTATTGAATATGGCATTATTTTCCTGCTTTTTTTCCCCCACCACATTCATTATTGGAATATAGAAAAGCTACTGAATTTTGTGTGGCAATTTCAGTTCTTGGAGTTTTGTGATGGAATATTTTGGGTCTCTTCTGACAAGTTTTTAAACATCTGCAAATAAGGATAAATTGACATCCTCCTTTCATGTCTATATTATTTTATTTATTTCTTTTGCTTTCTTTTCTGGCTAAGACTTCAAGGATTATATTCAATAGAAGTAGAGAGTGAATAACCTTTTTGTCTCTGATTGTAGAGGAAATGTTTTCCTTTATTATATTGCTGACTTTAGGTTTGTCCTGGTATTTTTTTTTCCATTCCTAGTTTCTCCAGAACTTTTATGGGAAGGAACATTGAACTTTGTCAAAGGCTTCTTCTACATCTATTAAGGTGATCATGGAAATTTTTTGTCTTTTGGTTTGTTTATGTGTTATATTACATTTATTGGGTATGTTGCATCATATTTGATTCTCTGGAATGAAGCTAATTTGCATATGATATGATTTTTTTTTTTTCGTTTTTCGAGACAGGGTTTCTCTGTGTAGCTTTGCGCCTGTCCTGGAACTCACTTGGTAGCCCAGGCTGGCCTCGAACTCACAGAGATCCGCCTGGCTCTGCCTCCCGAGTGCTGGGATTAAAGGCGTGCACCACCACCACCCGGCAATGATATGATTTTTTAATGTTTTGTTAAATCCAGTTTGCAGATGTTTCATTCAGATTTCTGGGTTCAAGTTAATCAGAGAAATTGGTCTATAATTTACTTTTTTTTTTGCCTGTGTATATGTCCTCATTCAGTTTTGGTATCAGGTAAATACTGTAAAATAACTTTGATAGTGTTCCATCATATTATATGTTGTGGAATAATTTTAGGAAAATTATTGTTGGCTCATCTTCAGATGTCTAAATTCAACAGTAAATCTGTCTGATCCCAGATTTTTTTTCAGTTGAGACTCATCATTACTGCTTCAATTTCATTGCTTGTTATACTTATGTTTAAGTCTCAAATTATAGTTTTATGTCAGTTTACTTTTGATGTTAATGCTCAATTTTTAGGAAAAAATCCTACAATTCCCTTTATCCTTACTTAACTTGATTAAAAATAAGATTATTTTTACAAGAGCCATCTTCTATAAACTTTAACAGGTTTTTCATTCACTCAGTTTTTGTCTTAAATTTTTCTTATATAAGAACTAGTTATCTACTTTAGGAGAAAAAATATACTTTCTTCTCTTAAAATAACAAATTAACATTCTCATATCTTAAAGCTATTCCTTATGAAAATAAACCCTCCTTAGTATGTGTGTCTGCACACATGTGTGTGGTGTGTACATTCACAGAAACCAGAGGAGGGCATTGGTTGTCAACTACTATCACTCTCCCATCTTATTGATTTGAGGTAGAATCTCTCTCTAAACTTGTAACTTGTTTTTTGTTTTGTTTTTTTTTTCCTAGGCTGGCAGCCAGCAAAACCAAGAAACCCTCTTGTCTCTGTCCCCTTGTGTAGCTAGAGTTTTCCTGACTGGCCCACAGTCAGGACAAATCTCTGACATCCACCAGTTCTACAGCCATTTAGACCCAACCAAGTAAACACAGAGACTTACATTGTTTACAAACTGTATGGCCATACCAGGCTTTTTGTTAACTGTTTTTATATCTTAAATTAATCCGTTTTTATAAATCTATACCTTGCCATGTGGCTCATGGCTTACTGGCATCTTTACATGTTGTTTGTCATGGCGGCGGCTGGCAGTGTCTCTGACTCAGCCTTCCACTTCCCAGAATTTTTCTCTTCCTTGTCCCGCCTATACTTCCTGCCTGGCCACAGGCCAATCAGTGATTTATTTATTGACCAATCAGCAACACATTTGACATACAGACCATCCTACAGCACTTTCCCTTTTTTTTTAAAAAAAAGGAAGGTTTTAACCTTTATACATCTCCAAAGTTAGCTTGGTATATTTGGGAATTTGGGCGTAGCTTTTCTTATTATTTTTTGTTGGAGGGGGGCGCTGTATCTTCTGGGGAAACAAAGAAAATTTTAGGATCATGGAGTAGTCCGTGAGGCTGTATCATCTGAGCCAGTTGCCTTGAAACGGTTCTGGATGTTGGATCATCTGGGCCATGGTGTCATCGGAGACCTTTTAGGTGGTCTTGGCTGGTCAAACCTGATGTGTCTTAATCTGCAACAAATCCATAGCCTCTGGCTTTCTGTGGAAACAAAAGCAGAGTCTCCTTTCTAAAGTAACATATCTTTATATCTAAATTTTGAAGTCAAGGTACCTTTAAAATATGTATATTGGTTTAACTCAGCTTTTTTTACAATCAAATATCTTTTTGTAGTTAAGAATCCCAAAGACAACACAATCCAGATTCTCTGTGTGATATCTATCTTTACAGGGCTTATTTTTTATATTAATTTTACTGTCTCTTTAAAGACTTTATTTTTTAAAACTATGTATTTGTTTTTGTAACTGTATATATCACCTTTTTAATCTCTTTTAAGCCTACATGTATTTTACACATATTTTAAACTATTACATCTGAATCTGTCTTATTGTGAATCTATTGCCTTAAACTGCAGCAGCTGTGGCTGCTGGCTCCGCCCACCTCAGCTTCCCAACATGGCGGCGGTATGCTTACCGCCAGCTCTGGGAGCCATCGTGGGTCTATGCTTTTATCCAAGCAGCATGTAGCCCAGAAACCTCTTTTTTTTGTTTTGTACTAGTAAAGGCTAAATCCACCAAGCAGCTTAATGTGTCATTTGCAGAGGCCTCATTCCTGCCATACCGCAGGTCGAGCGCGCACATTAGGAACCCACCAGTAGCTCAAACCGGCAGCTGCCGCTCATTTGAGAGAGACAATTAGGAAGCTGTTTTTAGCTCCATTTTAGAATCTTTTTTTTTCAGTTTTTAGGTGGAAACTCTTGCCCCACGTTGGGCGCCATTTGTAGCTAGAGTTTTCCTGACTGGCCCACAGTCAGGACAAATCTCTGACATCCACCAGTTCTACAGCCACTCAGACTCAACCAAGTAAACACAGAGACTTACATTGTTTACAAACTGTATGGCTATACCAGGCTTTTTGTTAACTGTTTTTATATCTTAAATTAATCCGTTTTTATAAATCTATACCTTGCCATGTGGCTCATGGCTTACTGGCATCTTTACATGTTGTTTGTCATGGCGGCGGCTGGCAGTGTCTCTGACTCAGCCTTCCACTTCCCAGAATTTTTCTCTTCCTTGTCCCGCCTATACTTCCTGCCTGGCCACAGGCCAATCAGTGATTTATTTATTGACCAATCAGCAACACATTTGACATACAGACCATCCTACAGCACCCTTGCCCCCTTGTGATGAAGTTACAGGCATGTGAAAGGCCACACCTGAATTGTTATATAGGTGCTAAGATCCAAACTCAATTCTTCACTGTTGTATAAAAAGTACTCTTAACCACTGAATGATCTCTCCAGTCACTCTGTTAACTTTAGTTACATATCTTATTTAAATTCTTAACCCCCACTGACCTTAATTTCCAGTGGATGCTGGAAATAAAATCATTGTGAACCATCTGTCTTGTCATACCAGCAATCTATAGATTGGCAAATCTGTGAATCATTCTTTTTTAGAAGTATATGCTTTTTCAAAGTACAGTTTGTCAGTGTGACACAGAACATGTTTACTAACTGTCCCAAATATCTTTAGAGAGACTGTAGAGGAGATAAAATTTTATTTCTATTCTGTTAGGTTTTTCCTTTTTTTGGCTAAATATGATAAATTGTTTACAAGTTTCCCTTAGCCTTAACTTCTCATTCTTTTTTTTTCCTTTTTTTTTTTTTTTTTTTTTTTTTTTTTTTTTTTTTTTTTTTTTTGGTTTTTCGAGATATGGTTTCTCTGTGTAGTTTTGGTGCCTGTCCTGGATCCCACCACTGGGCATAACTTCTCATTCTTAATGATAAGAATGTTAAAGCCCTTTTCAAACCCACTCCCTATGGTGGGATACCTTGCTCAAACTTGATGCAGCTGCAGCAGGGAGGGTCTTAGTCTGGCCTCTTTTTTTATTTTTTTATTATTTTGAGACAGGGTTTCACTGTGTAGCTTTGGTGCCTGTCCTGGATCTCGCTCTATAGAACAGGCTGGCCTCAAACTCACAGAGATCTGCCTGGCTCTCTCTCAGTGCTGGGATTAAAGGCGATTAAAGGCGTGTGCCACCACCACCTGGCGGTCTTGCCTCTTCTTGATGAGGCAGACCTTGGTGAGTCCCCATGAAAGGCTTCACTCTCTCTAAGGAGTGGATGGGAGGTTGGATGGGGGAAGGTGAAAGGAGTGGGCTGACGGGACAGAGGGGGAAATGTGGTTCCTATGTAAAATGAAAAAACTTTAAATAAAAAAAGAAAAAAAATACATAGCCTCTTTTTTCATTAATTGTTATCACATATACATAGGAAGATGCATACTAAAAGTTTTGATTATTTTTACTTTGAATATATTCCTTTTCTCAAATATATCTCAATAAAGCTGAAAATTGAACAATGAAGTAACCTTAATATTTTGTAGCATAAAACTGAAAATTTCAGAACTGGTCTGAACCAGAAGAGTACAGGTCCTGAACATCACAAGGTTGAATGGGAGGACCTGGGATAAGAAATGGGCCTATGAGGATGCTGGACTAAAGTCTATCAAATTGTGCAAACAGACAAATTATGTACTATGTGAATTATTTGTCAATAAAGATTTTATAAAACGTTAAAAAGATAAAAACAATAGTTAGATAAGAAATATTGCATAAGATGATGCCTTATGCTAAGCAAATTTATTAAGTATACTATCTTATATACTATTCGCTGGGGGTAAAGGACAAAGTTTAGCAGAGAGGCAAGTCAGACAATGTTAAACAGAACATGGGAAACATCAGACAGATTCCTTAGGACAATAACCACAGCCCAGGAGGCAGTGTCCTGTTCCCAGGAGCTTTAATGTATACTCCTGTGAGGCACTGTCCCCAGCATCAGACTGGCTTCATGTCTGATCCAGTACAAGGACACAGAACTAAAGTTTCCTTTGTCCATTCATCAGGGCCTCCTAGAGAGTCCTTTGTTGTTATGAATTCCTGGCAGAACCATGAATAAACACATAAAATACCTTTCTAAATCAATGACCTCATTATCATATTGAGAATACAGAAAGAGAACAACAGCATATCTCATATTAGGAATCAAGATGGAAATGACTAAGGAAGAAGTTATAAGAAAAAATAAAAATTAAAAAAAAGAATGTTAAAGCCTTATGGTAATGAAAAGGAATCTTTTATGTTGAAATAGTTATCTTATTTACATCTATTTAGCTCACTTATTTTGCTTAAAATATTTATTTTAATAATCTGTACATGACTTTCCTCTCTCTCTCTCTCTCTCTCTCTCTCTCTCTCTCTCTCTCTCTCTCTCTCTCTCTGTGTGTGTGTGTGTGTGTGTGTGTGTGTGTGTGTGTGTGTGTGTGCATGTGTGTGTATATATACCATGTATATGAGGGTGCCTATGGAAGCCAGAAGAGAGCATCAGAGTTATAGGCAGCTGTGAGCCATAGCACATGGGAGCTGTGAACTGAACTCCAGTCTCCTAAAGAGCAGCAAATGCTCTTAACCTGAACCATTTCTCCAGCCCCTAACTTGCTTATTTTTTAAATAATTACACTTGGATTGCTTATAAAAAGCAATATATATTAAATAGCTAGTAGGCTGCCAAGCCTGATGAACTGAGTTTGATGCTTTGATGTTGCAGAATATTTGTTTAACTATGCAAAGATGTGTTGTGTAGCATGAATCTTAAAAGTTCTTATTAATAAAAACAAACCTGAAGCCAGGAATTGGGGTGAATGCTGGAAGATCAGAGAAGCAAAACAAGCCACAGCCTCCTCACCTTGCCAATTCCTCAGTTGATCCTATTTCCTCAGACTGGAAGCCTCTGAGTCCTCATCCAGAATGAATCTCAGCTGAACTGCTGCTAAAAGCCTAAAAGCTTAATCAGCCTAGTTCCTGGTTTTCACGCCTTATATACCTTTCTGCTTTCCTCCATTACTTCCTGGGATTAAAGGCGTGAGTCACCATGCCTGGCTGTTTCCAGTGTGGCTTTGAACTCACAGAGATACGGATGGATCTCTGCCTCCCAAGTGATAGGATTAAAGGTGTGAGTGCCACTATTTTCTGGCCTCTATATCTGTCTAGTGGCTGTTCTGTTCTCTGACCCCCCAGATAAATTTATTAGAGTCTACGATATATTGGGGAACACAATATCACCACAGTGTTGCATTTGTTTAACTATGTACAGATGTGTTGCATTTGTTCATATTTCAGAATATTTGTTTAACTATGTAAAGATGTGTTGCATTTGTTTATGTTGCAGAATATTTGTTTAGCTATGTAAAGATGTGTTGGGCCGGGTGGTGGTGGCGCACTCCTTTAATCCCAGCACTCGGGAGGCATAGACAGGCAGATCTCTGTGAGTTCGAGGCCAGCCTGGGCTACCAAGTGAGTTCCAGGAAAGGCTCAAAGCTACACAGAGAAACCCTGTCTCGAAAAACCAAAAAAAAAAAAAAAAAGATGTGTTGGATTTGTTTAATCATATAAAGATGTGTTGCTGTCTTACCTTGCCTGCCTAAGACACCTGATTGGTCTAATAAAATGCTAAATGGCCAATAGTGAGGGAGGAGGTATAAGTGGAACTTCCAGGCAGGAAGAATGACAAGGAGGAGGAAGTTAGGCTTGAAGAGAAAAGAAAAGGAGACAACAGGGAGATACCAGGGGCCAGACAGAGAAACATGGAGGAAGCAGGAAATTAGGACATACAGAATGAAAGAGAGGTTAAAAAGCCATGAGGCAAAATGTAGATTAATATAAATGGGTTGAATTAAGTTATAAGAGTTAGTGGGACAAGCCTAAGTTAAGGCCTAGCTTTCATAATTAATAATATGTCTCCATGTCATTATTTGCTGGCTGGCAGTCCCGACGAGAGAGCATATTACACTCTGACTCCTGAAAGTTGTTCTCTGACTGCCACCTACTCACTGTGGAATGCATGTGCCCATACTCAAATACACACACACACACACACACACACACACACACACCATAAATGAATAAAGGTAATTAAGGAAATTTAAAAAAACAGCTACTCATCATCATTTTAATTTTCTTGCTGACAAATTTTGTAATATAGAAATAAGCTTATTTTTATCAGTAAACCTAAGTATTAAGTCATTTTATATTATATTAAGATTTATTTATTTATTTATCTATCTATCTATTTATTTATTTATTTATTTATTTATTGTTATTCAAGACAGGGTTTCTCTGTGCAGCCCTGGCTGTTCTAGAACTCACTCTGTAGACCATGCTGGCCTTGAACTCAGAGATCTGCCTGCCTCTGCCTCCTGAGTTCTGGAATTAAAGGTGTGTGCCACCACCACCTGGCTATGAAAACTCTTAAGAACTGCCTCTTTTAATTAAATTGCGTGTTTTATGTATCAAAGAGTACTCATTACATTAACTTGAAAAGAATTTGGATTCTTACTTTTCTCAGGTAATACTTAAGCATGTGACCAATTTCTTTAAAAAAACATATTTTTACTTATTCTTTGAGGAACTCATTTCTTTTTATTGTTTAGTTGACATATAAAAGTTGTACATATAATATATACTTCCATAAATATTTATTATTTTGTGACAAAACATCCCAAGTCACTTTACTCTAGGTTTTTAAAATGTACAGTACATTATCACTTTCTAGAGTCATCCTAAATACAAGCACACACCAGAGCTTCTTTCTTCTGTTCAAGGGTAATTTAAATATTTCAAGTAAGTATAACCTAAATATTCTGAAATATTCTCCTATTTAAGTGTAACTATTGATTAGCTTTTCCTTATCCCACCCTCTCCTTATTCCCAGCCTCTGGCAACTGTTATTCTACTCTCAATTTCTATGGGAAAATCTTTATTAGACTACACATGAGTAGTATAACGTAGTATTTGCTTTTGTGCTGGGTTTATTTCACTTAATATAATGTCTTCCATTTCCATCCACTATTATAATTACAGAATTTCTTCATTCTTTTGTCTGAATAGTATTTCATTTTGTGTATGTACTATATTGTCTTTACTCATTCATCTATTACACATTTCACTTGATTCCCTAGCTATTGGGAATAGTGCTACAAAAAAACATGGGAATGTAAGTAACTCTTTGATATACTGATTTCATTACCTTTGGATATATACCCATTAATGAGATCCCTAAATCACACAGTCATATTTAACTTTTTAATATTTCAAATTTAAATATAATTACATAATTCCTCCTTTTTGTTTCTTCTTACCAACCCCTCCCATGTACTCCTGGCTCTCTTTCAAATTCATGGACTCTGGCTTCTCTTTCTTAACTGTGGTTACATATATATGTATTTATATCTATATCTATATCTATATATATATGTGTGTGTGTGTGTGTGTCCTTAAATATATAAATATAATCTACTCAGTGAGTATAATGTTGTGTGTATATAATTACTTGTGTGTATATAATTTCAGGGTTGCCAGTCTATTTTTAGTTTTTGTGAACTTTTAATTCTTTCAAATTTTTAATATATTCTTGCTATATGATCAGTTTCTGATGTCTTATTTTTATCTTTTAGGTAAATCCATGGATCCCTGGAAGTTCTTGATATTGTTGATGTATGACTTCTTCACATTGAAATATTAGGTATTTATCCCGGTCTTCAAATCTGGATTTATTTGTTTCCATCCTTTAGAAACTCTAATTAGTCTATTTCCTTTCTCTTTGCATGTAGTTGCTTCCACTATTTCAATATTAGGTGATACTCTATGTCTAGATTTTCTGCAAGGATATTATTGGGATGCTGCCATTATGTTGGCACTATAGGGCACCCCATGTCCAAATTTGTCACAAATGTGTAGTTGGATTGTTCAGGATGGGCTATGAAGTGTCTGAAAGGGTAGTTTGCCCCTGAATGATTCTCCTTGTGGCTAAGGTGGGCCCAGATATGTTGTTCACCATCACTTCCTGGGATCAGGCATCATGGGATTTTGCTAAGCCCTGAGCCTCACTATAGTGTCTGGCCCTAGACTTCAAAGTAGCAACGTGTGCCTCTTCCTACCCCAATTAGATGATTTCTCTATCCATGCTGTACTACCTAGAGTTATAGGATAAATCTAGTTAGTGGGTCTTATGCCATCAGCATTGCTGCAATGCTAGGTCATACCTGGAATCTACATCCTACCGAGGCCACCATAACACAAGGGCAAGACTAAGTTCCACAATGTCATTGTCTGCTTGCTTTTGTAGTCCTTTTATGGCTCACAACCTGTGAAGCTTGCCAGAAATAATGTGAACCAGAATACAAGTCCATCCTACCAGGGCTGTGGCAGGTCCAGAGACTCCTTCAGACAGTGGTCTGAGGATAGTGGCCATTTAATTCTATTTCGTGTCACTTTTCATGGTGGTAAGCCTGACACTGTATTTCAAGAAAATGCCCTATGTTTACTACCCTGTCCTAACTCAAGCAGCTGGAGTCCTTCATGTTATATTGCCTGTGGTTGGGGGAGGGATAGTAGGTGAAGTGAGAACCCATTCCCACAATAATTAGATGTAGACTCTGAGCCAATAAGATTAATGCAGATTCAGAAGCTTTGCCTATGAGCACTGGTTTAGGGGAAAGAACCATAAAATTCTGCCAAGTTCTATGTTTTATATGGTAAACATCAGAATGGGACAAAGGCTAACAGTGAAACTCCTAAGTATTTAGCTAGACACTACCTCAGGGGGACCTGGCCATCCCCTCACTCAGGGGGTTCTGGATTTGCAAACTGGCTCAAGTATGGAAATTGGTTCACAGGCCAATATTCCCTCTTGCCAAGATCCAATGTAGCCTTTGTTTCATTTGTTTGAGAATTTTTGTTTGTACAGATCAAACAAAAATGTAATAGGCTTCTTTTCTATTACATTAATTTGTATGATGTTTCTCTTCTAAGAGAGCTGTATCAGGAGTAGGATCCAAAGTATATCTCTAGTGACTCTTTTCCAGGGAAACATCATACAAATAAGTTTAGCAGAGCTGATTTGAGAAAGGAATTTCTGAATTGGACAGCTCCCTGAAGCAAGAAAGGTTCAGAAAACTCTGCCCAGAAATGTCAGCATGCAATAATTATAGACAGCACATGGAATTGATGTACAGAAGTATTCTGATGGGTTTTAGCTTAATGATAGTGTTATTTTGGTATAGGATGAGCCTATAATTGACTTAAGCTGAGATTCTGTGATTGAATGAAATTCTGTAGTTGGAAGTTTTCCTGTGTCTCACCTGGTCTGCAGCCACTCAGACCCAAATAAACACACAGAGGCTTATATTAATTACGAGCTGTATGGCCATTAGCTCAAGCTTACTACTGACTAGCTCTTACACTTAATTTAACCCATAATTCTTATCTATGTTTAGCCATGTGGCTTGATACCTTTTCTCAGTTCTGCCTTATCATCTTGCTTCCTCTGTGTCTGGCTGGTGACTCCTGACTCTGTTCTTCCTCTTCCCAGAATTCTCCTTTTCTGCTTATCCCACCTATACTTCCTGTCTGGCTACTGGTCAATCAGCATTTTATTTACCAACCAATCAGAGCAACACACATTCACAGCATACAGAATGACATTCCATAGCACTTCCCCTTTTCTGTCTAATCAAAAAGGAAGGTTTTAACTTTTTTTTTTTTTTTTGGTTTTTCGAGACAGGGTTTCTCTGTGTAGCTTTGCGCCTGTCCTGGAACTCACTTGGTAGTTCAGGCTGGCCTCGAACTCACAGAGATCCGCCTGGCTCTGCCTCCCGAGTGCTGGGATTAAAGGCGTGCGCCACCACCGCCCGGCTGGAAGGTTTTAACTTTAACATAGTAAAATTACACATAACAAAACATTTATCAAGCAAGAATTACAGTTACAATATCTAGTCTATTTATATTTGGCACATTCAAAGAAAATATTCTATTTATCCTATATTTGTGAGTCTAAGGTTTCATATCTTTTCTCTTATCATAACCAAGGAAAATTATAACTATTTAGTCTTCAACTACATCAAAGACCCCAGAAGGATATAATATTACCTAATTAAACAGGGTTAGGGTTCCCATTGTGGCCTTGAACTCACAGAGTTCCAGACAGATCCCTGCCTCCCAAGTGATAGGATTAAAGGCATGTACTAACATTGCAAGACTTTTGTGTTTGTTTATAATGGGTGACTTTTTCCTCTGATCCCCAGGCAAGCTTTATTTATTAGAGCACAAATAAAATATTACCAAAAAATTCAGTTATTTATTATAATAATATACTTTTTAAATTTAGCATTTTTTACTGTTTGGGAATTTCATACATTATGCAATATATTTTGATCATATTCACCTACCTCTATCTTCTTTTTCCAGAACCTCCCCATGTCTCCCTTTCAACTTATTGTCCTCTTTTATTTTTATTTTTATATAATCCACTGAGTCTAATTAATGATGTCTATATGCTTGTGGGTGTAGGGCTGTGAAGACTATTCTTAGTTGTCAACTGATTACATTTGGAATTAACTAAAATTAGTCCTGTGAGGATTTTTTTATTAAATCATTTGATGTGGGAATACCCTCCCTAAATCTGGGCCACACCTTCTGATGGAAGTCTATATAAAAGGACATGGAAGAAGGAAACTTTTGCTTCTTTCTTGCTTGCCCTCACACTTACTGGAAAGTTCATCTGTCCTGCTGCTGAGGTATTCCTTCACTGGTATTAGAACCTACTTCTTCAGGATTCCAATGTATACTAAAGACTAGCTGAGATATCCAGCCCTGTGGACTGAACAACTATTAGATTCTTGGACTTTCTGTGAGGAGACAGGCATTGTTGGACCACAGCCTGTAAGCCACTCTGCACATTACCATTATATGCCATGGTAATTATCATTAAATGACATTTCTACTATTATTACAATGCCATCTGCTCTCAAGCAAACAGCTATAGCCTCATGGGATGTGCCCTATGAATGGTTGAGGAAGAGAAGACCAGGACCTGGTTTACTGATGTTTCTGCATATTATATAGGCACAACCCAGAAGTGGACAACTACAGCATTACAAACCCTTTCTAGAGCAACCCTGAGAGATACCAGTGAAGGGAAACCTTTATAGTGGACAGAACTTGGGGCAGTACATATGGTCATACATTGTTTGGAAGGAGAAACAACTAGATGTGTCATTGTTCACTGATTTATGGGATGTAGCCAGTGAATTGGTTATATTATCAGGGCTTGGAAAAAGCTTGACTAGAAAGTTGGTGAGAAAGATATCTGGGGAAGAAATATGCAGATAGATCTCTCTAAATGGGCAAAAGATGTGAAGATACTTGTGTCCCATGTAAATGCAAAGAAAGAGTTTAGTAATCAAGGAGATAGGATAACCTTTCTGTGGACAGTCAGAGTCTTTCCCCAGCCATCTCTGTCACCCATTGGGCTCATGAACAAAGTGGCCATAGTGGCAGAGATGGAGGATATACATCGGCTCAACAACATGGACTGCTACTCACTTAGGCAGACTTGGCTATAGCTCCTGCTGAGTGGTTTATCTGCCAACATCAGAGACCAACACCAAGCCCCTGATATGGCACCATTCCTCAGGGTAACTGTCCAGAGACCTGGTGACAAGTCAACCAAATTGGGCCATTTCCTTCATGGAAAGGACAATGCTTTGTCCTTACTGGAGTAGATACTTATTCTGATTTTGGATTTGCCCTTTCTACGCATAATGCTTCTACCAAAACAACCATCCATGTATTTAAAGAATGCCTTATCCACCATCCTGATATTTCACACAGTATTGCTTCTGACCAAGGAGCTTACTTCACAGTCAGAGAAGTGCTACAGTGAGCTCATGCTCACCAACTGGTCTTATATTCCCTACCATGCTGAAGCTGCTGGCCTGACAGAATGATGGAGTGGCTCTTTAAAGACACAGTTGCAATACCAATTAGGTGGCAGAAGCCTGAAGGTCTTATCTCCATAAGGCAGTTTATGCTTTGAATCAGCATCCAGTATATGATAGCTCCTGACCATAGTCAGGATTCTTGGTTCCAGGAATCAAGGGATAGAAAAGAGAGTGGTTCCATCATAACCCCTAGTGATCTACTAGGAAAAAAAATTGAATCCTGTTCTTGTGATCTTAAGTTCTGCAGGTCTAGGAGTTTTGGTTCCAGATGTGGGAGTACTCCTGTCAGGAGACACACACACACACACACACACACACACACACACACACACACACACACACACACACAAAAAAAAAAAAAATTCCATTGAACTGAAATCTCAGACTTCCCCTGGGCCACTTTGGGCTTCTAATTCCCTTAAGCCAGCAGTCTAAGTAAGAAATAACAGTGTTAGGAGGGGTGATTGATCCAGACTACTGGAGGAAATTAGATTGCTTCTCCACAATGGAGATAAGAAAGATTATGTCTGGAGTGTAAGGGGATCCTCTTGATGTTACTATGTCCTCTGATTAAAATCATTGAGAAAGTACAATGACCCAATCTAGGCAGCATGACAAAGGGAACAGACTCTTCAGGAATGAAGTTATAGGTCACTCCTCTGTAGGAGTCCAGCTCTGACCTGTCAAAGGGTTTAGGGGGAGGGGAGAGAAATGAGGAAGTATTAGAAAGATAGAAAGAGAC